TTATCCTTTTTGTGTTTACCATAGTTATTTTCTACGAAGAAAAATAATATTCATTCTTGGATGTTGTTGATTCTACTGAAAAACAAGAATAGACTTTTGTTGAAATTACATAGATTGCTAATATTGTTTACTCCTATTTTCATTATATATTTGATAGGATCAAATTGATTGGTTAAGATCTAAGCGTTGACTTTAAAACAATATTATCATGTTTAAAATTTAATCATTAAAAAGATGAATACTACTCAATGATAATACCGACTCAATCGAAAATCTAATTCATTCATTGAATAATTGAAATATAATTCTACGAAATATTTTACACATTCCTATGTAATCTATTCAGTTTCAATGTAGAATTATTGTAAAATTAAGGATTTAAAATCAAAATAATCTATGATCATACCTTATGATTATTCACTATTTCTGCTGTTGTTTTACTTTTACTAATACGGGATAAACGTCGAGTAGTATTGAAATCTTGATCGCTGTCAGTTATTGTTTTATCGTCATTTTCATTTTTAAATTTTGGATATGGTAATGGTTTTGATAGACTAAGTTTCACCGGGCCTTTTGGTGTTGATTTTAATATTCTAATAACTTCATTCAAATTCATATTTTCAAATGTAATATCATTAACAGCTACTAAACGATCTCCAGGAATAATTCTTCCATCTAATTGTGCAACACCACCAAGTACTAATGAACGTATAACAATAACAGGTGAATGACTTGGATTAGATGGATCTTGATAATCAAGTACAGAAAATCCTAAACCATTTTCACCTTTATTTAATTCAATATTTACAATAGATGTTGACCATAAAGCTAAATTTGAAATAACTTCTAATGAACGTGTTTTAGCTGTTCGTAAAAATGAACTAGTTGTTGAATCTAATGTGCCCATACTTTTAGCTTTAACAACTATTTCAGTTGTTTTACAAAATGATATTGAACGAGAACGATCTGATTTCGTTTTAAGATTTATTTCATTTGATTGTTTCATGATACGACGAGCACATACAAGTTTTAGGTCATATTTAACACGTTTAAGAATTTCAATAACATTAATATGATTTTTTCCATATAAAATTTGATTATTAATCTTAAAAGAAAGATAAAATGTGAAAAGAAAAAAAATCTTTTTTTTTTCTTCACTTCTAAAAGTTCATCACCAGATTTTAATGTTCCTTCAATTCCAATAATACCATCAGGTAATATTGTACGAATATAATGATGTGCTCCAATTTTTTCACCATTTTCAACATCAATTGTACCTTCAAGTGTTATTCCAAGGCTACCATTATCAGGTTTATAAATATCAATAATAAAAATTTCATAATTATTTCCTAAACTTTTTATCCATTTTTCACGTATTTGTTCATTTATATTTATTTGATTTTGAAATTCAAATTTCTCTTCAACTTGATTTGCAGGTTCTAGAACTAAAATATTTAAATAAAAAACAATTTATATTTTTCGAAAAAAAAACAAATTTACAAATCATTTCTTTAATTTTTTCATATTTCACACCATCAAGATAACGTCGAATTTTAAGTCGTACAGATGAATTTGTATTTTGTAATAAATAAAGTGCTTGAACATTAGAAAATCCATTAAGTGATTGATCATTTACTTCAATTATTTGATCACCTATTGCTAAACGACCATCACGTGCACATGAACTTCCTTCAGCTATATCACGAATAAATATACCAGCGATAGCATCTATTTAAAAAATACAACAAAACAAAGAAATTTTGCAATCAAATATATCCTTTGTATAGTTCATACGAATTAATCATTATATGTTTATGATGTAAAGACAGATATGTAATAATAATAAATGATAGGAACTTAAGATTGATTAGTTCCATCTGGAGTTATTTTCTTATAAACAACATCATTTTTTTAATTAATCAAATTATACATAAATACTGACAGTTTTATATTTTTCTATGAATAATATATAAAAACTATTCATGGAGTGGTAAACTTATATATTGATATTTATTGATTGACTTTTTGAAATATATTTAAAATGAGGATCTGACAATTTTAATATTAGAAAGAAAAGTCAATATAGAGAGTTTTCAGACAAAATTATATAATGTATGAACTGATGTATTTGAAACGCGAACTATCAGAACTTATTGAATTTATTCAAATTTTCAAAATTACTGTTTTTTTGATAGTCTATAAAACATTTTGAATTATTCCATTTTCGCCGACGTCCACTTTCGCCGATTCCACTTTCGCCGAAGTCCATTTTCGCCGATTCCAATATCGCCGACTAATTTTTTTGACCGAAAATTACCAAGTCAAATATGAATCATTCTATATTAAGAGTTTTTTCCAATTTAATAAGTTTATTAACAAACTCATTAATTACCAACTGAGTTGGTAACNCTTATTTGGATCATCTCATGTGTTATTGATTCTTGTCAAATCAGTTCATTTTCTTCTACTGTAGCGCCTATCGTAACTTTTTGGGAAAGAAACTCAACAATTCAATATAACTGCAACGATAGATGCTATATCCACATTCTCATCTTCACATTCTGATGCTCATGAGCATAGGTGTGCCATCCAGCGTCACAGTCACAATCAGTTATTGAATATTCTTTCCGAAAAACTACGATAGATGCTACAATTCAAGAAAATGAACTGATTTGACAAGAATCAATAACACATGAGATGATCCAAATAAGTGCTTTACAGCATCTTTTCTTTCGACATTTTTCTTTTCGATATTTTCACCTTCTATATTTTTCTTTTCGACATTTTCCTACTTTTTTTTCGACATTTTGCCTTTTCGATATTTTCCTTTTCGGCATTTTCCGTCAATCCAGGTGAGATTATACATAGGCGATACATATTCTGAAAGACTGATGTTTAGCTTCAGAAAATGTTTTCAAATCAATTTTTATTAAAAATATTATCAGGGCAAAACAATTTGCCCTGCCCTGCTCCAGTCGCCCTGAGGGTGGACAGGATAGGGCAAGAAAAAAAAAGTTTGCCCTGTAGGATAGGGCAGGACAGGACAGGGCGTCAGGGCTGCCCTGATGCCCTGACCTGATGACGGTCTCTGGTGTGGAAATATATCAGTGCATCATTTTCACTACAGTCCTACGGAGACAAACTTTTTCGACCCCAACTTCGAAGACTAGCACATATACTCCGTTTTGTGCTGCTTGTTAATGAGGATACATCTCGAATTTTTTGTTTTCATGAAACTTAACTATGAATCTATAGAGTAGTGCCCTTTTTTAGTGCATTACTTAAAATATGAAAATAGTAGTTGTTACTATATAAGTACAAAAATACTTGATTTTTAACTCCTGTGACTTTGTTAGTTACTCCAAAAAACTTGTTCACGATTACTTCAATTTCGGCAGGAGTTAGGATTCAGAGTAGTGTCTTGCAACTCGACACACGGATATGACCCAGTAAATAATGAAATCTCGATGTTTCAAAATATGTTTACTTTTTCAGATACCTCTTTTTAATAAAAGCATAGGAGTAAAAACCAGTTCGATCATGATTAAGCAATTTATTGTCACAGAAGTAGAAAGCGATATTGTTTTATTAAAAGATTTTATTTTTAATGAAAATTCATCTACAGATAATGATGAACCATATGATAAAGTAACTGAATACACAAAAATGAAAATGAATTATCAAAAAAGGTAAACGTATTTTATTGTAATGGTAAAAAGCATTAAATGTATGCATCCACAATTATAGCCTTAAGTACCAACGCACCAGTGTCATCAGCTACAAACAAACGTACAGTTAATGAAATTGATCGGATTTTAGAAGCAGAAAGACTCCAAGTGAAATCTGAATCAGTTCTTTTTTTTTGTTGCTATTTATGGAAGCAACTAAATAGCAAACTTTTTCATATAAAATAAAAACTTGAAAATTGTACCGTAACTGTGAAGATATCTGCTAGATGTTGATTAGATCTGATCTGGATCCGGCGGCGAAAAGTCGTACTCATGGAGAACACTACTGTAGAGTTCAATGTAGGGCTCTGGTTTTCACGTATGTCGAATTAGTTTTTAGCCGATTGTGTTCACTGAGAATAAAATCAAACTTTGTCTGCTTCAATCAATGAAATCAAGTTTTCTTTTCTTTGAGTTATTATACATTAGTGATTTTTAGTTTTCATGATCACTGGTATAAAATGATTGAATTCTGTTGAGTTATGATCATTTTATTATTAGTAGTACAGATCAGCAAATATTTTATATTTGAGTAATTTATTTTACAAAGAAAAATACTACAAATGAAAAACAGTTTTAAATAGGAAAGTCAATAAATAGTTTTGTTGACTTTTTTTCTTCACACTTCTTTTAGTTCATTTTGTTGGGTACAAAACAAAAAGAAGATGGTCTTGTCATTGTTTGTTATAGAATCATTTGACAAGGAATTCCTTATTATACATATAACGCGTTTTTTTTTCAAGCGAATATCTAAATGAATATCATTTCTAATTAATTCCTGATTGTCTCTATAACAATTTATTTTTAGTTTCCGTCATATTTACATCGAAATAGTTGCAAATATGAAGCATGATTATGCGTGTTATGAATGTTGTTTTCCTTTCATGCTAATTATAATCTTTTGCTTTAACATATTTTTTTATTGATGAATGGATTTTTTTTCTGTCCTCCCTTTTATCTTCAGATAAGGGATAATATAATCTCCATGGTAATGCATGGAAATAAAGAACAACAAGAGTCTTCTTCTTAAATGTAGCAAGGAATAGAACGTTGAAAAAAAAAAGAAAAGAAAAAAAAACAAATGCGTTACACGCAGAAGTACAACTAAGTGTTATCAAGACAGTTTTTTTCTTCGTATTTACTTGAAAGTACTTATACTATTGTATCGCAATACTATATAATAAAATAGAGCGCCAAATAAATACTTATTTCTCAAAAATTTAAGAAAAAAATTATTATTAAATTTAATTCGAGAAAAATACAATGAAGCAAATGGATAGCGAACATTCACGATCGGGTAAGTGATGAAATTTTTCAATTTTCATTGAAAAATTTGGTACTTCTAGTCTCTTTTTGGTGTTCAATTCGTGTTGCTGTTGCTTTTGTTGGTTTTCTGGGCATGGTTGCGCATTATTCACAAAAAATTAGTGTTGGTATTGCTCTTGTTTGTATGGTCAATCATTCAGCTATTGATCATCACAAATCTTCTATTAATATACCACTTACACAAGCTGATATTGATTGTCCATACGCAAATAATACAGTCAAAATTGTAAAAAAAAGCATAAAATAAAAAATTTTCTCATATGATTCTCTCTTCTATTATTTTTTTTTTATATAGGAAGGTCCATATCCATGGACAAAAAATATTCAAGGTATTGTCTTAGGAGGATATTTTTGGGGTTATTTGATTACAGAAATACCTGGTGGATATTTGGCTGTTCGATATGGTGCTCGATTTATATTTGGTATAGCAATGATTATTTCTGGTATATTTACTTTGGTGATGCCATGGGGTGCAAGTTTACATTACATAGTACTTTGGATTTTTCGATTAATTGTTGGATTTGCGCATGGAGTGATATGGCCAAGTATGGCTGTAATCATGGCACATTGGGCACCACCTAATGAAAGAGGAAAACTTGTTGGTTTTATGAATGCTGGTTGGTAGTCTTTTTTTTATTTATTAACTGTTTCTTTGATTTTTTTTGTTGCTCTTATCATATAGGTGCTCAAATTGGAAATGTTTTGACATTATCTCTCGGTGGATTAATGTGTTCATCGAGTTTTCTTGGTGGTTGGCCATTAATTTTCTATTCCACAGGTATTATTGGTCTGGTGTGGGGTGTATTTTGGCTTATATTTTATGCTGATTCACCTCATGATCAACGTTGTATTAGTAATGAAGAAAAAGAATATATTCTTAATAGTACTCAACAACAATTATCTAGTCATAGTCAAAGTGAATTTGAAGCTCCATGGAAATCTATTTTAACATCACCTGCTTGTTGGGCACTTTTTATTATTCATACGTGTAATAATTGGGGTACATATACATTTCTTACATCAATACCAAAATATATGGCTGAAGTATTAAGATTTGATATTAAATCAGTAAGTAAATGATAATATAATGACATCGAGGAGAAAACAGCAGACTTCAAGACTGAAATCCTTATTGTTTTTTTTTCCATCGGATGATGCATTATTATTGATTTAGAATGGTTTACTCTCATCATTGCCTTATATTATGTTTTGGATTAATATAAATCTATCTGGTGTAATAGCTGATATGATTATTCGAAAGAAAATATTAACAAGAACACAAACAAGAAAAGTATTTAATGTATTAGGAAATTTGGTTCCAGCAATATTTGTTATTGGTTTAGCATTTATGACATGTAAAATTAAATATGTTGCAGTAACTTTATTAACAATTGGTGTCACGTTCACGTAATTATTTTCTTTTCTCACATTATTTTGTTTTGTAATATGCTTTATCAATATAGTGGGTGTTGTTATGGTGGAGGTTTTATGTTAACTGCAAATGATATTGCTCCAGCTTATGCAGGAATTGTTTTTGGGATTTCAAATACCTTTGCTACAATACCAGGCATTATTAGTCCTTATATTGTTGGAGCTCTTACAGAAAAAGTTCGTTTTTAATAATATATTATGTTTGCATTTTATATCTATAAATATAGGATCCAAATAATTGGCGAATTGTTTTCTTCATTTGTGCAATTATTTATATAATTGGTATGATCGCATTCTTATTTATTGGATCTGGTGATGTTCAAACATGGGCAATAAAACATCAGACTGAAGCTGTGATGCTTGAACAAACTCCTTTATCTGGTAATAAATTTTAGTTTTAATATCGTTATATATAAATAATATTTCTTTTTTCTTTTAGCACCGACTGAAATCACATTAGAAAAAAATTTTTAATCAACAATAGACTCATTTCAGTGAAATCTTTAGGAAATTTATTCAAACTTTCCTTGTTTTTTCTCAATATGTGTACTTTAGATATAGAGATTTTATTTTTGTTTAATATTTTCTAAAAATCGTCATTCAATCTATATTGTAATTCAACAACTTTTTTGTTTAATTTAATGTTCAATTATCTATGGTAATATGTTGTAAGTGTCTATTCTTGTCAATATATCTCATAGTTAACTGATGCCATCTACATTTTAATAAAACAAACAAATATGTTTTCTTCAACGAAAATAAAATTATGAAATATTAAATTATAAATTACTAATATTAAAAAGTATTATATTTAGAAGAGTGCGCCACTGCAAAGTGGTAACTATTTAGAAGATTAATCATCATTGCATTTTGGCATTCATTCAAATGAATACACGAATGATTGTATTCTTAACTGTCTGGTTTATTACATTTTTACGCACATGAATTATGAATTAAAAAACAAGTTTTGAAAACTAAAAAGGTCGATATATATATATATTTCAATGTATTTGAAATATTTTGTCAAATTAAAGTTTTTCTTTATTATTCTATTAAGTTTAATTTAGGTATAAAATGTAATTGATCCTTTTCTGACAAAATGGCAAAACTTTTCGCTAGATGGCGCCCTATGAATTTTTATTTCTAGAATAATTTTGAAAAGTCATCAATGTCTAACTCTATTCCAAGTGAACATGTACAACTTCTTAAACAATTTATTGCATTATGTGATGCTAAACCTGAATTACTTCATGCACCTGAATTAGAATTCTTTCGAGAATGGCTCTTTAAGTAAAATTAGTCTGTTCTTGTTTTAAATAATCAATATAAATTGATTTCTTATAATGATTTAGATTAGGAGCAACTATTTCAAGCGGTAAAAGTCATACACATCCAGAATCAACTAAAATGGATGTAGATGATGAAGAACATCCTTCATCATCGAAACATCACCATGAACCACCACCACAAGTCCATAGTGAACCAGAAAGTGAATTAGGTAAGCAATCATTGCTATCTTTTATTTTATTCATAATAATTTTTTGTTTTAAATAGAATTGGATACAACTGGTGTCATTGAAGGTGATAATGATCCACCACAATCAATGGGTGATCCTGACATTGAAGTATCATGATTTACGAAAATTTATTTAACATATTAATATTTTGATTGAAATAGGTCACCGATGCTATGTTGGAACAAGCAGATGTAAAACGGGGTGAAGCTCAGGCTAAACTTTCAGAAGGGGCATTCGAAGAAGCTATTTCTCTATTTACGCAAGCTATTGAAAATAATCCTCAATCGGCTATTCTTCATGCTAAACGTGCTCAATGTTATATTAAACTTCAGAAACCAAATGCAGCTATTCGTGATTGTAATCGTGCTTTGGAACTTAATGAAAATTCTCAACAAGCACTTAAATGGAGAGGAAAAGCTCATCGGTAAAGAACAGAGAAATAAGAATAATGATTTTTGAAGTAAAATTTTTCTTCTTTTTAGTATGCTGGGCGACTGGGAAGCTGCTTATAGAGATTTTTGTAAAGCTCAATTATCTGATTTTGATGAAGAGGTTCAAATATGGTGTAAAGAAGTTCAAGCGAATGTATATCTTTCTCATTGCCTTTTTTGTGTTTTCTCTTGATCTAATGTTTTTTTTTGTCTAGGCCAAAAAGGTTGTTGAACATAAACGGAAATATGAACGGCTTCGAGAAGCAAGAGAAGTTGATGCTAAACGAGAACGTATTCGTAAAGCTCAAGAAGCTTATGCTAAAGCACAGCAAGAAGAAAATGAACGACGAGCACAAGAACAACATTCTCATCCAACAGGTGGTCATCAATTTCCAGGTATAATTACGGAATACGTTTTTTTTGTTATTCCTTGTAATTGATTTGTTTATTATTATTTAGGTGCCGGAATGGGCGGTATGGGTGGTCGAGGTGATTTAGGAGGATTGGGTGCTGTTATGAATGATCCAGAAATATTGGAAGCATTACAAGATCCAGATGTACAAAAAGCTTTTGCAGTAAGATTTTATATTGAAACGATTGATTTAATTTTCGGTCGTATCTTAAGAAATGAGTTTGTTAAAGCTAAGGTTTGTTTCAGGAAGTCAGTACGGATCCATCGAAATTAGCTGCTCATCAGAGTAATCCAAAGGTACGCAAAATTATGGAAAAACTTGCTAATAAGTTTGGTGGTGCTGGTGGATCAATGGGAGGTGGCTTTCCTGGTTTTCCAGGTTAGTTTATTTTATCATTCTATATTATTGACCTTTGTGCTTGTATACACCTAGGTGGTATGGGTGGTGGAGCTGGTGCATCTGCAGCCACTGATCTTGATTAATTGTTTCTTTTTGTCAGACGTTATGTGAAGGACAAATACTTTTTTTTTTCTAAATTAATTTAGTTTGTTCGATCAAGTATTCAAGAAATATTCGTCACTCGAATCATTGTCTTGTAGATTTCTTTTATTTTCTTTTCATAAAACAAAAATTAAAATGTTTATATGGAACTTTATTTTGAAAAAACAGCCAAAAGTGAGGGATGTCATAATATCTGAAACTCGGGTATCGAGATTTCGACACATCGATATACACTAGAATAGCGAGGAATTTGAGTGAATTCGGTGTAGCGAGATGGATACTCAAAATGGATATCCTATCTTTAAAAGTTGAGGAATTTGAGTGAATTTGATGTAAGAAGATGGATACGCGAAAAGTCGGTATCGGTGGGAGTGAGGACGGTGGTTTGTGTGTGGGTGTTGGTGTGAGTAGGAGTCCGGAAGCGTACAAGACTAATATGCATGCACCAACACCCACAGGACGTGCTGTGTGTGTACTGCCGCGTGTGTCAGTTCTTTCGCGACAACCACACCAGGTGCTGTGCTGTTTGTGTATTGTCGTGTCTTGGTGGTCAGGTGGGAAGAGCGAAAATGCTGTACTTTAGCGTACTTCACTGTACTCCAAGATTATATCAAAAGAATTGGTTAAAAAAATTTTGCTATTTGAAGTTTGTTATCGATCAGTGTAAGGGTGCTTTACGTGGAATCCAGCTTGGATATGTCTATTTGGTAGCAAAGTCGAAACGCTTAGCTCTAGTTCACGAACTGGAGAACAATCAAGGGGGAAACGACGTACTCTCGTACTTTTGTACTCTACAGAGTCCATGGACTTTGATTGGACTCCGTGTACTCTGACTGGACTTTCATGGACTCTGAGTACAGAGAGTCCAAAGGAAAACGCTGTACTCTTGGACTTCCTGGACTCTCATGGCAGTTTCAGAGTCCCTGAAGTACTCAAAGTACAGATAGAGTCCACGAAGTCCACAAAGTACCAACTGAGTCCGTGAAGTCCACGAAGTCCATGAAGTACAAGAAGTCCAATCATCGGGACANTCCATGGAACGGAAGAATTACTAAAACATATGCTTGTACTCTCTCTTGCCTAGCTACAGTCCTGCATCTACTGTCCATAATTTTCTGTTCTGTTAAAAGAAAGACCAACGCACTGCTATCTAGAAAAAATGTAGAATCAACTGAAATGGCAGAAATGCTTTTTTGGAATTTAATCTTTCACCATAATTAGAGCCTCTGTCAGTCTAATATGTTGAATATAGTTTTGACGGTAACTGTTCAATAAGATCACCATAGATTTTTTAAAATTAATAATGGTTTCAATTCAAATTTATAACCAATGAGAGCAATGGCATAAAAGCAAAATATATCGCAGAAGACCCGACAGCAACATGCGTATTTCAGCTGTGTTGTTTTTGCGTTGAATCAATAATTGTTAAGTGCTGTGTAAAAGATACTTGTAATTGTGTATTAATTGTGAACAATGAAAATACCTAATGACAAACTAGACAAAGGAATAGGTAAATTTGATTGCTTTCTCCTTGACAAAAAGTATCAAGCAAACGAATGATATATTCAATTGTGATCAAATGTTTGTTGAAAAGTGCAGAAAAAGTCACATTCTCAAATACAAGCTCCGGCAAATGTGTACTTCGTGAATATTATTTTTACCGTACTTTCAATCAATTTGATACCGAATGATGATTTTAGAATAGTAGCAGTCAATTGTTGTAAGATGACTTTATATGAACCTTTGATTGTATTCCGCTCATCTGTATGACTCTATATTGGTGGGACATTATAATACTTATGACTTATATTATTAATATTCTCGTATACTGTTCGCTTGTTGCAAAGATTGGATTTACACATGAAAAACAAAGTCATGCTTTCATTTTCGATCTACCTTCTCGATAGAAATATTAGTTGTGATAATTAATCACGTGTATGATGAGTCAGCAAGTGTCTTTATATCACATAAGGCTTCGAACATGCCATCATGATTAAGATAGATTGCAAGCAACACATACTCTGCTGAAACATTTTTTGGTCTACTTTCGATACTGTATTGGAACAATTAACTTCTTTGTCAACTTTAACTTTCATAAATTTATATAATTCGTTTTGTATATTTGCTAACTTAATGGATACAAAAGACAGAGCTCGATCAACAACAGAGATTGGGTGAATAAAATTTTGTTTGGATATTATAGGCAGTGAACATTTTAATATCGCAGCAAAAATTTTCCTTATCTATTCAAAACAAAGGTAAACAGATTCAACAGAATTTTGATTATTATCATATCGATTGAAGAATGATAGAATATTGAAAAATTTTTTAGTCTTGTTTGTGCCATCAGTAAATATAGAGAGAAATTTTTCCTAGAGCTTTCTAAACGGCATTATACTGTCATCATCACTGCTTTCAGTGTACAACTCTAGCACATGCATTTACTTGTAAAAATTGAAGAAAATTTGATATCTATACTTATAACTGAACAGCGCGAACCATTATTGAACCAGACAATTATTGAATATCAAAGTGAAATATTGACACATATGATGGAAAAGTTGTGGTAATATTAGTTCTGAATAGAAGGAAAGAAAAAATGTATGATTTTT